CGGCTAATGGCTGTGCTCCGCCGGAACGAATCAGGGTTTGGATTCAATGCAGAAACGGGACAGATTCAGTGCAGAAACCACAGTATCGCATCTGCAAGCGGAGCTTGCTTTTTGGAGTGCGTTGTGTTTTGTACCCTCGTTTCCTCCTGACTGACAAAGCCGAGCAGCCGTGGCAGGCAGCACAGCGTGCCGGCAGGCGTGGGCAGCTGGGATTTGCTCCACGGTTTAGCTCTATGGAGCATGATACGCGGCCATCTAGCAACGCTCTGTCTGGTTCCGCTGTCGAGACCTGTGGGCAGAGGTCTGTGCCCACTGCCGTAACCGCAGCCTCCCCCCGGGGCCGCCCGGTGCTGGCAAAGCCGTGTCGCCCGTGGTCCATGCGAACCAGAGCTGTGTGTTCTGACTGTCCCGCGGCCGGGGGGGATGGAGGAGAGCGTGGTTGGGTGTGCGGTGCCATATGAGACTGTTCTTTTATTTCCCAGGTGCGGGTGCCCAGGTGGGGCAGGGCTTCGAGCTGCAGCAGCCCCAGGACACGGTGTCGGTGACAGCGGGGGAAACGCTCACCCTGAACTGCACCACGTCCAGTGGCAGGCCTGCTGGCCCCGTGAAGTGGCTGAAGGGTTGGGGCAGTGGGAACCAGACTGTCTATGGGCAGACGGGCTCCTTCCCCCGCGTGACGAGGGCATCGGATGGGTCCGACACAGACTTCACCATCCACATCAGGGACGTTCAACCCGTGGATGCCGGCACCTATTACTGTGTGAAGTTCACCAAAACGGGGTATGGTGATGAGGTGTTTCGGCGTGGAAAGGGCACGCAGGTGTCTGTACACGGTGAGTGCGGCTCCCGGATCAGCTCCCGATGGGAACCAGCCCTGCCGGGCACAGCCCAGCCCAGCGCGGTGGGCTCTGTTCGGGCGAGTGGGGACGGGGAAGGGGCTCAGGGGCCCATCCCAGGAGAGGGTCCCATGGGCCGTCCCCCAGGCGCATCCGTGCCACCCGTGGGAGACCCCTCTCCCTGCAGCCCCGGGGCCGGGCAGGGGTGGCACAGCCCGTTCTGATGGCCCCACGCTTCTCCCCACAGCCAAACCCACTGTGCCGGTGGGCGGACGAAATCCTCCTACGACATGTCCAGCACCGTGACGCTAACGCTGGAGGCGGACGATGTCCGCTCGCGGCTCATCTGCGAGGTGCGGCACCCCACGCTGACGGGCCCGCTGAGGGGGACGTACCGGCTCAGCCAAGCCCTGCGAGGTGAGGGCTGGGGGGGGACCGGCGCTCGGGGCGTCCAGCTCCTGTGGGGCTGGGGGTCCCAGGGCAGGGACAGGGCACCCCGTCGGCAGCGGAGCCGGGGGACACCAGGCACCAGGCGCTGCCTCTCTTCCCAGTTTCCCCCAGTGTCCGTGTGGTCGCTGACCCGCCAAGCCCCGTTGAGGTGAACAAGACCGTGAACTTCACCTGCAACGTGAAGGATTTTTACCCAGGAGTTGTGGCCGTCACCTGGCTGGAGAACGGGACAGAGATGAACGTGGAGAATGTCTCCCGGCTGGTGGAGACCCCCCAGGGCTTGTTCAAGCTGAGTAGCGTGGTGGAGATCAAAGCGGTGGAGGAGAAGAACGAGTCGGTGTTCACATGCCGTGTGGTGCATGATTCCCAGGCCCCCATCGAGAGGATGGCCACCCTGTGGATCACCACCCCAGTCAGGGACGGAATGAGTGACGCATCCCAGACAAATAACGGTGCGTGAGAGCCACTGGGATTTGTTCTCTGCTGGGGGACTGTAAAATACCATCCCCCTGAGAAAGCCCCACCAGAATCTGGTTCAAGGACGCAAAATCCCCATAATGGGGGGCTCGGGGGGTGGGATGCTGGCAGGTATTGTCAGTTGTCCTTGGTGCTTATGACATTACCAGGCTAATCCCCACTGTAAGTCTGCAGGAACTCTGTTGGTACCAGCATTTTCAGGCCCGTGGTGACCTTTTGCGTTCATGTTTCAGGCAATTTGCTCTCAATCTATATCGCGGTGGCAGTGGTCTGCACTGTGCTGGCCCTGCTGGTGGCTGCAATTCTTTACCTCATCCGGGTGAAGCAGAGCAAGGGTAAGGAAACCAAGTGCACAACAGGGAAGTATCTACTTCTGACCCCCTTCTCACTCTCTTGAGCATCAATGCGTGGATTCTGAATTCATGGCTGTGTGTCTGCAGCTCGTGCCCAAAGGGGAGGATGGACCAGAGCTCTCCAGGTTGTTTGCAGGCTGCTGGGAAAGCTCTGCCTGTTTGCACTGCATGCCAACGCCTGCCAACGAGCAGACAGATATGCTTGTTGTTCCTTGTACCTAAAAATCTCTGACACACACCCCCCCTGCACCTCCTGCCCTCTGCCAGGAACAGTCCTGCAGTAAATGGAGTGAAACTCCAAAAAAAAAAAAAACCTGCAGGCAGTTGCCTCTGGGGAAAAGATGCGTATCTGCTCTTGCAGCAGTCTCTGCATGTGGGCTCACGTGCCTGGGGAGGCAGAGGGGGGGTTGTGTTGTTTCCTAGACTATTTCTTTCCTAAACTATTTCTCTTCCGGCAGGTAAAAGCTCGCCATCTGCTAGGTAAGTGTGGATCTCCTCTAGTGACTGAGTAAGCCATGGGGGCATTCTGAGCTGGACACCTCCAGCCCCCAAGAGGGATCCCCTTGGGATCGGGATGGAGTTGGATCCCCAAAAGCTTGTTGTGAAAGGGAAGGCAGGAGCACAGGCTCTGCTGATCTCCCCAGGTTGTGGTGCTGCCCTCGTGGTGATCTTGTACCCAAAGGTTTGGCTTTTGGTGAGGCTGAAGAAGTGGGTGGGAGCTGGAGCTCTCCAGCCTGCGGAGATGTAGCTGGACCAGTATGTGAGCAGATCCTCACCAGTGAGGACTCATCCTGCTGGGTGCTGCTGCGTGGTGGTGGTGTTTTGCATCTGAACCCCCCAGCTGCTCCGTCACTAGGGAAGAGGCAACGGGGCAGTCGGTCGATCTAACTTGTTTTGTTCCCCCTTTCAGGTTACATGAGCCAGAGAAGAGCAGCGAGGCCACTACCCAGGTGTGTCACACAGCCCCGGGGCCCGGGGAAGGGAGAGCAGCCGGGAGGAACCGGGGGCGGGAGTGGAGGGTGGTGGTTCCTGCATGAAACATCTCGGTGTCTCCAGTGGAGGGTGGTGGTTCCCCTGTGAGCCGTCTCAGTGGCTCCACACTGTGGCTGGAGAAAGAGGAGAAGCCGTCCCGGGGATGGGATAGCCACTTCCCAGTATCTTTTCTGCCTTCGCCCTCTCTCTTCCTCCTCCTCCTCCTCCTCTTCCTCCTCCCAGCCAAGTCTGGGTTTGTGCTGCCTGGAGAACCAGCTGTGCGATAGCCAGCCAGGCTATTTGTGGAGTTATTTTGCATTTGGGTGACGCAGTTATGAGCAAAGTCGTGATCAGCAGCAATCTGTCTGTCCCACCCAGTCTCTGCCAGCTCCCGTGTGGGCATTGCTGGGCAGGCTGGCCCCTGCCCACCTCTACCAGGACAAGGTGACGAGGTGGCTGCGGTGGTGGCTCTGCAGCCTGTCAGTGGCAGCGGTGGTTAGTGATTTGAAGATGTAGCATGGTGTAAAGAATCGCTGTGGTATGTCCCAGCTGGCTGCTGGCATCACTTACCCTGTACAAGCAGAGACCGAACTGTCTCAGGTCAAGCTGCAGTGGGATTGATGCGTGGGGCTTTGGGTTTGGTGCATGGGGTGGGTATGGGGCGCTTCTTGCTCATCCTCCCAGGTGAAGGACTTGCTGTCTCGCACAGGAATCTGACCCCAACAACCTGACCTACGCAGACCTGAACTTTGAGAGAGAGAGGAAGACCATCCGGCGGATGGTGGAGATGAGTCAGCAGTCGGAGTACGCCTGCATCCAGACCAACCGAGCACCCAATGGTGATGACAACCTCACCTATGCCGACCTGGACATGGTGCACCTCAGCAAGGCACCCAAGCGTCCAGCCCCGCACCCCGAGGAGGCCGGCTCCGAGTATGCCAGTGTCCAGATCCCGAGAAAGTGAGCAGGGCTGCAGCAGCTGCCGGGACCACTTGCCCCATGGGGAGCTACCCTGCTCCTCCCCGGGAGGATTTTCTTGGAAGCACTGAGTGTGATGGGAAGATGTACTGCGGTACCCATGTTTTGGGGTGGAAATGGAGCCTGCTATACTGTGGGGGTCGGCTCCCATCCTCAGAGACCTGATTTTTGGGGGCAGCTTGGTCCTGGGGCTGCCGGCTCCATCCCTTCGGGATCCCCCCACAGCCACGGGGACCACTCAGCCTCAGTGTGCCAGGTTTGCCTGCAAGCGGGTTAAGCCAGCGGAGCAGTGGCTCCTTGGGAAGCTCCAGCCAGGCTGAGGACATGAGGACAGTGCCTCCACGCCGGCTCCCGTGGGGATGCTGCTGCCTGGCCAGGCTTGCACGGCTTCCCGCAACCGCCCTGACCCCGCAGGGACCATCCAGGACCCCTGCGCTGCCTTCTGGGGCTCTCCGCCGCCTGAAAAACAAACTCTGGCTTTAAAGGAAGGACCTAAGCATCTGCCTCTTTCTTCCCAAGTGTCCCTTCTGCGGGACCTTGGTCTCGCACCAAGGCCAATGAGACTGGGAAGGCTGGTGAGCCGAGCACCCCCCCAACCCCTGCTCTGGGCTTTCCCCCTTCCTGCCGCCCAGGGAGGCTCCAGGTACGTCTCTCCGGCACAGAGCATCCTCCTCCTCATCTTCTTTTGTGCAGCCTTGCCCCGCACCGGGACCCACCAGCGCTGCCCCAGGCTTGTACAAAGCGTGCAGCTCCATACCGCCTGGGCTGCAGGTGCCCCCACCAGCCCGGGGGTGTGTGTGTGTGTGTGTGTGTGTCCCTCCCAGGAGCTCCCCGCAGGTACTGTGTAACATGTTTTGACTGTTTGACATGTAACTGTTAATTTTTAGAGCTAAAACCCAATGTTTTGTGTTGTACGTGGGTGTACTGCTATGTACTTAACACTAGAAGTAAGATGTGCAAAATTAAGACCGAGTTCTCAGTAAAGACCCCTAAACCCCATAGACTTTAAAACACTTACAGGGACCCCCTACCCACCCCCCCACCTCTGCCGTGGGGGTCAGGCAGACTTCTCCCAGCCCACCCGTGGGGACAAGTGTCTTCCATGTGCCCCCTCCCAGGGCCACCACACGGAGCCAGCACCCTGCGGTGGCTCCCGCAGCACCCGGGTGGCCTTGCACCAGTGGGCAGGCATGGGGCTGCCCCCATGGCTGCTGGGGGGGCCTGGTGATGCTTTGAGAACAACGTGACTGCTTGTACAGACTATTTTTTTTTTTCTTTTCTTTTTGCTTGCGAGATATTTTTATAATAAAAGTGAAAAGTCCTGTGCTGCTCCCGCACATAAGCATGTCCCCGTGCTCAAGGTGGTCACCCGCGCTGGGGGTGTGTGGTGGGGTGGGGGGGTCTGTATGTCCTGCAGTGAGGAGGTAAGGGGGGGGGTCCTCATCCTGCACAGCCCTGTGGTATGCTACAGCGGGAGGGAAGAGGAAGAGGAAAGCAGCAGCAGGTGGAGGCTGGGGTGGGGGTTATGGTGCTGGTCCCCCTGGGCGGTATGAGGGAGAGGAGCAGCCCACCCCCAAGGCTGAGGACAGACCAGGGTCTGGCAGTTCTTCCCCACACAGCCCTCCAGCAGCTTTAGGTGCCCCCATTCCCTGGGAGGTGAGCTGGTGTGCCCAAACCGGGGTGTAGGCAGGCTGTGCCGTGGGTGAGCTGAGTGTGCCAACGCTCTGCAGTGACCCCCCCCGAAGAGCTGGGGGCTTGGCTGTGTCTGGCCCACAAGCTGTGTCTCGCCAGGGCTGGGAGCTGTGGCGTGAGGCTTCCCCTTTTGACAAGCCGTGCAGAGGATGAGGCTACGAAGGAGAAGTTTGAAAGGGAATTTGCTGCCCAGGCTGGGCTTCCTCAGCACTGTGTTGCTGCTGGTGGGGTCTCATCATCCTCAAAGCACGAGTGAGAAGGGTACAGCTTGGCCACTGCCCTCGGCAGAGCTGCCCCTTCCCCGCTTGGGCAGGAGCATCCCTGCCCTCGCTCAGCTGGGGGGTGCGCTGCCTCCCCTAGGGCATGGCTTCGGGGGCACCGGCGATGAGGTGTGTGGGTGCCCCACATCCCCCTTGGCACCCATGGCGCGGGGAGGGTACCACCGCTGCCGCCTGCAGGTCTTGCAGCCAGCACCCCAACCTTGGGCACCCACGGTCCCCCTGGCTTGGGGTCTGTGGTCCCCTGGTGGCGAGGGCTTGGTCTGCCCCGTGGAGGACACTCAGCACCCGGCACAGCTTCGGCTTCATTGGCATCTGCCTTTTATTGGCTGGGGGGGGGACAGGAGCTGGGGCGCGGGGCCGACCCTGCCTTTGGGGGTTGTTCTCCGAGGGGGGAGCCTGGGGGGACCAGGTGGGTGCTGAGATGGGTGGGATGCGGCAGCAGCTCGGGAAGGGGAGTCGGGGTCGTGCTCAGCCAGCTGCCTGCCCCGGTGATGGTGCCGCGGTGCCAGCTCTGCCCAACCGCCTCTCCCACGGCCGTGCTGGCTGCTCGGGCCATCTACCAGCCCGGAGGGCATCATCCTGCCCTGGCTCATCCTTCCCGGTGCTCAGAGGCCGATGCCCTGTACATCAGCTGTGATGGTTTCTAGATCCTGCTGCGCTTCTGCAGCCACGGGAGGGTGGCGGATAACGCGGTCCTCCTCCTCAATTTGCCCGCAGGAGCCCTGGGGCTCGACCTGCGTCCACACCGCCGGCAACCAGAGGAGTGGCTCTGTCGTCTCAATGCACAGGCACCCTAAGGGGTGGGCAGGTGAACCAGAGAGGGACAACTGGGGATGGGGACCCATGGTGTCCTGGGGGGATGAGGCAGGGATGATGGTGGCCGCGCCAGGCTGGGCAGGGGATGGGGATGGGGGTGGTGGCGCAGTCCGGGCCGGCAGTGTGAAGACCGTGGTGCCGCCCATCCCACGCCCGGCTCTATAGGTCCAAGACCTCCCCTGAGTAGGCACTGGGGTCTTCATCCGACCGCGTGGTCACCTTGAACTGCCGCCGCAGGAAGCCCCCGTAGCGCTTCTGATTGTCCCACTTGAGCTTGGGCCGGATCCGGCGCAGAAAGCCGCCGTAACGCTTGTGCAGCTCCGCCAGCTCCTGCCCTTCAGCCACGGCACCCGCGGCCCTGGCCCCGGGTAGTCCGCGGGGGCCGCCCGCTCCCCTGGCTTGCGGCCAAAGCCCCCGAACTTCTTGCTGAGGCCGCCCTTGCTGTGGGCATTCTCACGCAGCAGAGAGAGCAGCTTCCCCTTGGACATCTTCTTCATGAAGCCCCCGTAGCGCTTGGCCAGCGCTGGTGGCATCTCCCTGGGACCCAGCTCCTGCTCCAGCTCTGCCTCATCCTCCTCTGCCTCCCGAGGGGACGGGGCTGTCCCTTCGGCCAGGGCCACCAGCGGGGCCAGGAGCGCCAGCGCCTTCCTGCACGTCTCCCACTCGGGGCCGGGCGGCGAGGAGCCCTGGCATTCCCACAGGCACATCTGCAAGACAGCGGCCACAGCGGCCCCGGGGCACCCACCGGCATCACCCCGCTGCTTGGGGTGACCCCTCACTGCCTTCCTCCCACCCCGTTCCAGGGGTACCCCCACCCCAAGCCCACGGATCCGCACCCTCTGTGCTGCCAAGCTCAGAGAAGAGCCAAACCTTGCGTGTTCCCAGCACCCTGGGGCACCCACAACCACCACCGCAGCAGAGCTACTGTGTGAGGTTGGCACTCACCAGGGGCTGGACACTGCTCTCAGTGCCACGGGTCTGGGCCGCGCAGAGGGAGCACTGGGTCACGCAGTCGGCGGATGCCACCGCTGCCAGGCAGAGGCAGAGGGCCAGCGCCAGCACCCGCCGCGCCATCTCACCCCGCAGCCGCTGCCTGGGGTAGAAAAGCACAGAGCCCGTCACCTTCCCCGCACCGGCTCCAGGGAGCCCACCACAGCCCCGCTGGTACCTTCGGCGCGGGGCACCTACCACCGCCACCTGCGCGACTGCTCCTGGGGACGTGCATCGGGACCTGTGCCCGTGAGACTCACCTCCGGTGCTGCTCCTGGGTCCCAGGCAGGGAGAGAAGAGGACAGGAGTGACCGGTGAGGATACTGTGGGATGCAATCCCTTTGCCTGGCTTCAGCCTGGTCGTTGGCACAAGCCCTGAGCCATGACCAGGCCCCCAGGGCCACCGAGGTCCCTGGGGCAAGGACCACCACCCCATCCCATCCCATCCCATCCCACCCCACATCCTCCATCGCTCCTTCCGTATCATTAGAAAGTAAAAGCCCCTTTTTTTTCTTTAGCGTTGAATTTCTCTGCAATATTGCAATTGCCGCGTTTGCGCGGCGCGGAGGCAATGAATCACCGGCTCTCCCGCTTGGCCTTGGGGAAAAAAAGCACCACGATCGGAGCCACCGGCAGAAAGGGGAGAAGGGGATGCCATCACCCAGTGCAGTCTCACCCCGGTTTGCCGCATCCCTCACCGGGGCAGCCCCGGCTCCCCTCCCTCCCACCCGCCGCTTCTGCTGGGCTGGTGCAGAAGGAGGGAGGGAGAAAAAGCCAGATTTCAGGTGGAAGCCTACCTGCGAGCCGCGACCGCCATCCTTCAGCCTGCCAGGAGCCGTGCCGGAGCCTCTTGCCTCCGTGGATGAGACCAGGGAGGACTGAACACGCCGTGCAATGGCTGGGAGAGGGGCTGTGCCGGCGGCAGTGCTCGGTGCCGCTCCAGAACCCCCCAGGTGAGGCTGGAGGGAGCAGTGCCAGCCCCAGCTGCGGTGCCACGGGACCGTGGTGCCACCGGGACCACGGCAGCCCCGGGAGCGAGAGTCGACCCCAAAGGGGTGCACTGGCAACAAGCACCCGCCTGCCTCCTTGGCTGCTTTTATGTGGGGTGGAAAGGCATGACCCAGAGGGATCTGTTACACATTAATGACGCATATTAGAGACTATTGTATTCTCCAGCAGTATCTGCTAATGTACTGTAATTGGTACTGATGAAGAAATGTTAATGCCACAGTATTAATTCATGCTAGATTAAAATTTAATTTGAATTATCTGCACCATCGTGTGTCAAGCTGTCTGCATTCCTCGGCTGCACCGCGCGCTGGCTCCGTGCAGCCCTAAGTGCATCACCTCAACGCGCCCTGGCAAAGTGGCGGGCACCGGGGGCAGGCAGATGCCCAGGATGGGCAGAGCCACAGCAGGACCTCAGCCAGCCCGAGACGCAGCGATGGTCCCTTATTGCCTCGCCGCCACCGAGACAGCACCGATGAGCGAGGACTCACCGGCTGCGCAGGTGGGTGCCAGCTGCAGCGCCGAGGGGAACGAAGCTCCCAAGAAAAACCGCCGGCTGCCTCCCAGCAGCCCCACCGGGAAAACATTTTCCCCCACTTTTCCCACCCGCTTCCCCTCCTGTGCCCCTGCCGCGCTCCTCTGCTGCCGGCAGCCCCGTGCCCTGCTGCAGCTGAAGAACCGAGGACTTCACGGCACGCAGGGGAGCTGCAGCTCTCCGGGGCTCAGTGGGACCAAGGACCCTCTGTGCCCGAGCACTCCGGGACACCCCACTGCAAACATACCTTGTCCAGGCGGTGCCACAAATGCCCTCCACAGCGCTCTGCCTGCTCCTGCGGCGAGGGGGGGCACTGGCAAAACTGGGGCAGAAAAAACAATGGGCTTTGGAAAAAAAAGCAGAAAGACGCACACAAAGGGAGGAAGAAGAAAAGCAGAGTGAGAGCTTGATCCCACGTTACCTGGAGGAGCCCTGAGGCTGCGGAGCCATCGCTCCTGCAGAAACGCCTCGACAAGATCGTGGCAGCGTCTGGCAATGCCAGCAGTGGGTCCCGACTGCCACAGCCACCCTCGGCATGTCCTACCTGTGTCAGGCATCTGCCGGGGTCCCCTCCTCCTGTCCCGTTTCCACTCCAGTTTTTGGTACTGAGGTTTTGCTCATGAGTGGAGAAGCCCCGAGCTGTGTCTGCGCACCCCGGGGGTCAGTTACAGACTCAGTGGCCCAAGGAGGGATGGGGAATCGGGACTGTGTGTGCCAGGCGGCACAGAGACTGACCCTCCCCATCGTGATTAATTTGTGATTATTTCTAGTGAGGGATGTGAACGGCTCTCCCAGGCTGAGCAGGTCTCTCCTCCCACACAGGTCTAATTCAGGCAGGTTAGGACCCTGCAGAGATTTCTAGCAGAGAAGAAGAATCACCTTCCAGCCGTTCCTTTCCGCATCTCGAAAAGTGACCTGGAAATGCCTTCAGGATAAATCTTCTCCAAAAAGTTGATGACTTTTGGAACAGAATTGCAGCAAAACCCAGCCCTGCGGCTGCTGCTTGAGCCAAGTGGAGGGGAGACAGAATGCCCCCCCCATCCTCTCCCCCCACTCCCTTTGCCCCTCTGAGCCCCAGACATCCCTGCCACAAGGGTGGCAGACATGGCATCGCCGTCGAAATGAACCCCAGCAAACCTCTGGACAGTGGTTCACGGGCTGTGAAACTGCTCGAGGGACGAGAGGAGCACCTGTAGCCAGGCGGGACCTCCTCTAAATAACGCAACAAGCTCAACCATGAGCCGCCCTCGGCACCATGGCTCAGGGGGTGTTTTTAAAGAGAGTCACTCTTTGGTGAGCAGGAGCGATACCCCAGCTGCGCCCACGCGATGGGAGCAGGATGACGACCCCAGCAGCCCTACCTGCCGCTGCTCCCCGTCCCGCCGAGCACCCGCTTCACCAAGTCAGGACGGGTCCTGGGTGATGGGTGTCCCTCCGTGGGTGTCAGGCTGAGCCGGTCATCAGTGGCGGTGGCAAGGCCACGCTGGCTGGTGGCTCCGCGGCGGTGTCCGGGCCGCCCACCGGACTCACCGCCCGCTGGCTCCCCACTCCGCTTTTATGGCCACGGAGTCTCCTCCTGCAGCGGGACCCGGCTGCGTTCGGCGCCGCGGAGCCAATCGGGGCGAGGGAAGCTGTGAATAATCAGCCCCGCAGCATCCTCACCACCTCCCGAGCAGGCTCTCCCGCCGTACCGGGGCCTCCCCGCAGCCCCCTGGCCACCCCAAGGACCGGGGTGCATGTCCCACCGCTGCACCATCACCGACTGCATCCCTCGGGGACCCCCGACAGCCTCGGTCCGCGGGGACAAAATGCTTGCCCCAAACATGGGAGGTGGCAGAGCACCAGGATGGGGA